GTTTTATCTATTTATAATAAATAAAAAAAATGAAAAATACTAATAATTATAATAATTTGCCAAACATCAAAATTGAGAGTAGAATATATGTAGAACACATATGTACACATATCATTGTAGTCCATATATAATTGTCACTTCACGTCTATAATTCACAAGGATAATACAAACTAGTTCTTTACCACAAACTTCCAAAACTATCTCCAATTCAATTACAAAACACCTGATTTACAATAGACCATTTGCAGGTGTATATGTCACGTGACAATTTTGTCTGAGTGCGTCATAAATTTTCGCCATTTTGTCGTCTTTGTTCGTGTTTAGTTGTTATAAAACAAATATGGTTGCTCCAGGCATGGCACCCGCCCCTCAACCAAAGTCATCGTCACAAGCTACTAACTTTTAGTAATTATAGTATATAGTAATAGTATAGTATAGTAATTATTATTAGGAACATGACCATACACATATACTGAGATCGGTGTTGTAACATAATTACCATATTTGGTCATGAGCTAAAACGCTTTCAATATCACAACGAGTTCTCGCTTATAGAAATGTCTAGGCTCAGTTGTTGTACAAATTACAACGGCAACATTAACATTATTTATTTTATCGCTTGTGGTATAAAATCTAACCATTTGCGTCCAATTTTCAGTACTAATATGGGCACGATGAAGAAGTTGACTAATTATTGATAAATAAGTTATGTTCGTTGACGGATAGCAATATTGTGGAGAATAGTTAATAGTTAATAGTAACAAATATTAGTTAGCTAGTATGTATATCGGGGACGCTAGGGTGCGCAATTCGGATGCTTTTTTTTTCGACATATCCATTTTATACAATTGTATTCAGCTTTATTCGGATGCTAGTCATGTGACCTACTTGGAAAGTTAATGATCCGTAAAACGCCGGAATTCCGTTGCGTGTGTTATATTAACATTTCGAGAGGTCAGTTATATTAGACGTAATTGAAGAACATATACCGACACACCACTTTTCTTTACAACTAACTAACTAAATTGGTTTAAATATCACCGACGACTGGATACTACGATTACCATCGATTTTTGTCTCGTCTCATTTCATTGCCATTTCCGGGTCTTCCTGTGATGAATATAGTGATTTTCTTATGTATACTCTCATCTTATTATTTACAACTCGTGGTATCAATCAGTGGTGCTTCTTTCCGAATGACAAAACATGTCTTTTGGAGCGATGTGTCAAGCATGTGGCGTCAAGTAGATGAGTCAAATGTGGTTCTATGCAACGTATGTCTTGATATCCCTTAGTGCGCATGTCAGCCAGTTTTATTACGTCATTGTGAGTTGTATGAGCTTAACATAAGTGGTATTTTCATGGAGTCCTCGATTTTCATATTTAAAATATACATACTCTAAGAATGTATAATTATGTAATATGTAATGTGTTGTTTAATGGCTGCATTGATTTATATGCCATATTAATTAAAAGGATTGGGAGAAGGGGGGTTCACTCTTAAAATGTATGTAATCTGGTCCTAATTGGTGAAACAATATTATTGAATATGAAATGTTTACGTCACCATTACATATATGAGTCAAATCTTTTGTCTCAATTAGTAATTTCTATCTAAAATATAAGTCTCTTTTTATCATTTCAGGATGAAAAGATGCAGGTGATAAAATCAAATGTATGGATGTATCAGGTAAACATTTCTTTTAAAGTAATTAATTCACATTTGCATGATACACACAATTCAATACACAACAGCTCCCATGTAATATGTCGTCCATTTTTTCCCTATTCTATTATTATGTATCATTACTCTTTATTTTATTATTATTATTTAAGAAAAAACAAAAACAAGGTACACTGACAGAAAAAGACTGGAAATATAAATAAAAAAACCCGGATGTAACACAATGAAAATACATTCAATTATATATGTATTCTGGTAATTATATTAAATTAAACCATTTATCATTATGTTTGTCAAGTTTATTTTGCCTGTTTGCGATGTATTCTTCCATACGTCGTGTTTGCTGGATTAATATTTGAAAGGAAGGTTTGCTATTATTCACTAATATATATATTGTTTTCCAAGGATAATAAGATGGTTTAAAAATTTTGTCGCCCATTTTACAAAAAGCCGAAACGCCAAGATCACGATTAGACTTTTACAGATAATAAACTATTGTATTTTTACACTGGATGCATTTAGAGATTCATGCAACAGTCTCTAGTTGATAAAAAAATTCGCAAAATCGAAGTTTCATTCATTGGCGGATGATGATTTATGCGCCATATTGTAAACTGCCAGGGTAAAATCACTCCAATATTACAACTCAATTCGTTCAGAAACAGCCACAAACCAGGTCATACTTCAAAGACATTCATTATTCCATACTGATAAACGTGTGAAATACAGTCAGATTGTAAATTGGCGTATCCATGGCTACCTAGATTGTGTAAACCCGATATGACGACATTGGTAAGCTCAGTGACTTTTGTTCAATATATGTCAATAGAATTTTGTCACTAACATATTCGGCATATTCACCAATAATCACACAATTTCAGATATTGGAGTAATTTGTTTCTGTGGTATTTATTATTCATATCATGCTTAACGTTCAGAAGCAGAAAAAATGGACTGTCACGTCCACTGTAAGGCTAGCATACTAAGCAATAGTACATTCTGCAAACTGTTTTGTTGAATTTATCACCCACCAATCAAACCGATGACACATACAAATTTTTTCGATCATTGTACGTTTTTGATATCTGAATGTGACCAATTGGTATGTGCTATTACATAACCAATATACGTTCGTGTAAGTATATGGCACTATGAAATGCTAGTATCCACTAGGCGCTCATCTATGTACGTGTCATTATGGCTGCCAAGTGCATCAAATAGGCGTTCGTGTTGAAATATGATATGGTGACATCTCAGTGTGTCAAATAGGCAGCCGTGTAGGAATATGCCATCGCGACACTCAGTTGTGTCAAATAGGCAGACATGTAAGTAGTCGTGTTGGAATATTCCAATATGGATACCTACCGTGTTCTAAAATTGTTTTGAAATGTGCCATTATGACATCTCAGTGTGTTAAATAGACATTTATGTAGATAAGTGCCATCATGATAGCCAAGTGAGTCCACGAGGCGTTCATGTAGGTACGTGTCATTTTTATTTCCCAATGAGTACAATATCTGTCCGTGTAGTTATGTGCCAGTTTGTCCCATATGCGTTAGTGTGTACCGGTATGACATCACAGTGTATCCAACAGGTGCAATTATGATACACAGGTGTTTGTAATTAGCGTAGGTGTGTACAACTATAATAGCCATGTGTGTCCATTACGTACAGCTATATAACATTATGATAGCCCAGTGTATCCTATAGTAATTAATACCAATATGGTAGTCCATTGTGTACGATAGGCGTTCCATACGCCTTACGTTTTAAGTAGTGGGAGACATTTTGAATTAACTCATCAATTTGTTGTAACAATTTGAACTGAATCGTATGCACACATTCCTAGAATATACTGTGATCATAGACATTATATAGGGAAAATGTCTATGCAGTATCATGGTTTCTATGCCGACGCACAACGCGCTTAATTTGCATAACGCACACGTCTGGCGTTTGTGTACATTACGAAAGGTTTACAAAACTTGCATACAAATTTAACTTTACAATAATATGAAGAAATATCACACACTTTCAAACTCACAGATATGTCTCCATTATTGTGTGTAAACTGAATTTCTTTATGTTTTCTGTCAATATGAAATGTCTCATGAAATCTGTGCACTTTCACTTTCACTTTCACTTTCTTCTATTGCAGTATATTTATTAAGTATATTTAATATAAGTTACTTTACACACAACGAGTGAATTCCCCAATTTAGCACGAACCTGGAGGAATAAATCAATGAACTAGCTATGAGCGTTAATAATACATTATTTGCAAGACACGTTCACATGAACAAACTGGGTGTGCTATCTTTATTCGACTCGTGTCTCCAACAGACACTAACAATGAAGTTATACTCTACGGATGACAGTGAGTACATTCACATATTTCTAACCCTTGATTGGACTGTCTACCAGACAACCAAAATCAAATTATGATTGACATAGAATCTAGTTGAAATCTATCTGGGGGAAAATGTTAAAATAATCAAGAAATTGAGTTATGTCATTACAATCAGAGAGTCGCAATACATTCGTCGACTTATTGGGCAATGTTTTGAACGTTCTGTCTCCGAAGTCTAAAAGCTAATATGAATAACAATCGATATTGGTTAGTATTCTTACTATGATTATGTGTGAAATGCATGAATTTTTTGAGGGAAATTAATTAAAAATAATGAAATTTTAAAACTACAGAAAAAAATCAGAGAATATATTCTTTGGAATCCCAGAGGGGAAGGTGCTGTATTGAATCACTCCATTTTAATAGGAAAATACTTGTTCTATACAAGTCGTTATACAATTTTTCTCCCTTCTTTAACTCTAAAATAATTTGATGAAAATGAATGTTGAAAAGGACATTTTAAGCGAAAATAATTTTATTTTGAAATGAAGCCCACTGAATAGCTATTTGGACAATTATTGTCCAGAATGATTTGCTTTATTGAGACTCTCGTAATTAGTGTTTTCTTTGGTTGTTTGCGAATGTTTAATTGTTGATGTAACTTACTTTAGTTTTCTCAACTCTATATTCGTAATAATTGTCTTGTTTTGCAACTTCATTGATTGTAAGTAAAATAAAAGGATTGGAAATAAAAAAATGTATGAAATGCCATACGTAAGTAAAATAACGACAAAACAGATCTACAATCATTTAGACTGTCCCAATTATTATGCCAATTGACACCATGTAATATCACATCGACTTCCCCACAAAACAGTTCACATACACAAGACTGACGCATCACTATTCAGTGCCTGAATTTACCAATGAAACACAACCGTTCAAGCTCAACGACTGGGTTTATTAACAACACTTTACTTGTCATTTTAGATTTCGTAGCAGTTATCTAGCTTATTAACATTAGACATACATATATCAAAATAAATAACAATATCAAAACATTAAGATGCTTCATTTCTAACTAGTATCAATGCATTGCCATTTATTATTGGGGTTTAGTAAGAATACATTTCCGGTTATAATTTATCTTCATTACATTATATTAGCAGTTGTTATGTTTTGTAGCATTACATTATATTACATTACATCACATTATACACTAAGATATGGGTTTAGTAACAATACATAACGACGATATTATCTGAGTAGACCACAAAATACATTACCATTTTTTTATGAATTATTATCCAACTTATTGTCCAAGTCTTGTGCGATCACATTACCAGGTATTTGCTGGATTTAGTAACAAAACACTCACTACCAATTATTAATCACATTTAGTGACAATACAGTTATATTTTGAGTTACATTGGATTATCAGGATTTAGTAAAATTATATAATAGCAAATATAAATTAATGCTGAGTCCTTCTTGTCAACAATATCGTGTTAGTGGAATAAATGCCAATTTATAATTCACGATTTGTTAAATAAACCGGCAATGTAGTGAAAGTGTGCGTCTTCATTCAGCACTACTGTAACAATACACGTAATAGTTCGATCGATATGATATATCTCATCACACATCAGTCTGCAATTATAGCGTAATAAATAACATTCTTATTATTCACAAATACATGTGTTTAGTAGTCCCATATGTTATAAAACACAATGAAATTCACCTATATTTGAACTATGTATACAATACCAACAAATTCCATAGAGTGTATTACTCTGTGCATTCCATGCTAAATCAGGCTCATAGACGACAACATCTGTTACTTCAATATTGTTATTTGCCTTTACTGACATTTTGACGCTTAGCTGAGCACTAACATATTGGTTACACTACACGTTATAACTGCTTTTGTTATTAACCGGAAATTACTGTTTAATTGGGCAGATATTTCTAATTATGGGTTCCATGCTGCTTTCTGGCTGTCCGAGTACCTATGTCAAATATCATTATTGACATATGAAGATATGTTAAGTAAATAAATCAAATACAAATTATAAGGTAACAATGTTATAAGTAACGACCGTCCATTGTCACATTATTAGCGATGTTTGTACTGAAGAACGGAGAATTGTATTTGTATAACTTGTTTACACTTTTGACAGAGCAAATATAAATGTCCTATCCCGATTACGCGATTTCTTTCAGTCCAAACATTACATAAATATTACTTTATCGCCGATGAGCAGTTCAATTCTTATAATATTATAACTATATATTCATACGGATTTCAAATGAGCGTAAACCACAATGACCGACAGCGAACCGGTTGTTCA